AAAAAATAATTTTTTCTACTTATGAATTTCTACAAAAAAAAGAAAAAAATCAAAATTTGTTATTCCAACAAATTATTGTACTAGAATCTATTCATATGTAGCTAAAACTATGTTGTTTAAATTAYCCAAACACAATAATTAACCGAATTTCGTAAAAATTAGATGGATTTGTCATTGCAGCTTCCAAATACAATATTATATATTTTGTATATAACACAAAAGCTTCACCGGGGGATAACAGAACGATATGGCACATGATAAGTGTCGAAATCACTAAATCAGTGATCCTGTAATGATAGGTATCCTGTCCGGAAATTGATTATGTYATAACGAAARTATTYACCCTATTAAAATTGTATTAAGATTGTTCATAATATCTACATTTATGGATCTTGTTTAACGCAAATTTTTTTTAATCGTCTAATTACATTAGTGATTTTTTTTTTTAATCTATATTTGTAGAACAAATTTGTTATTGTTTTGGTGTGATTATTTCTGGAGACTGGAGAGGGTGTACTGTAATGCGTCGGTTAATTTTGTGAGAAACGCTCTTTTATCCAACACCCGCTGAATCCCTCTTCTAATTGTTTTCCAACATTTCTCCAAAGCACTAACTAAATATATGTTTTATAACTCACCTTAGCAACTATGGTTTCTTTACCGTTCTTTGAAAAAGCATAACGTGGGTAATGCATAACGCTAGTATAATCATAAGGTAGTCCAAARGTAGTTGTTACATTATCGGGCACTTTGTTAAAGTCTGGCCAATATGCTGAAAACAAATTATTTTTTTTTTATTAACCGTTATAAGATAAATTATAAACATTTTGAACAGTAATTTTATAACAGCAAATTATCATTACATTATACGATGATAACTAATTGAGATTATTTTTTAGTGGTTTATTTACTCATATATATTATATTTCTATATAAAATAACTACGGGTCTTAAAACCACTGCAGTTCATAGCTTTTATACAAAACTATTTTTCAACAAACCACAAACGAGATACTTTATTATACAAATATTATTATAAATTATATCTACTTAATTAAAAATGTTCAACGACTTTTTACTACGACAGAAGTTTGTGATATATGCTTGATATTCTGAATGTTTGATCAACTGACCTTTCGGACTTATCTGAGGGAATAATGACAAAAGGGGAAAATTCGTTATGTCATGTAGCCGTGCCCGTTTCCAAACTCTAAGTCTGGATTATTATATAGGATTATGGGTTTCAAATAAACACCAGATTAGTTTTGAATCGTYCTGAAAGATTTAGCGGTAAAATATAATATTAATATCTAATATCTATTAATTATCTCTRCCGTACATATTACAACTGTTTATACAATGTATTATATATAGATTATAGAACTTGTACATTAGGAAAGGGGCGTGGAGCCCAAAACCATCTGAAATTCATCTCAGACAAACATTATTTTTATTGTAATATTTTATACTAAAAGTTCAAACAACAGTTTTTCAAATGGACCGTCCCCCACTCACCGGAATAAAATCATGGCTACGAGCCTTCAGTGGTATCGTATTACACATCTCATTAAAATAAACATTCCTCGTGTAAAATATATACATATAAAAATACAATATAGACACAAACCCTACATTAAATATAATACATCGTGYTGTAATACAATATACACTCTGTATAATATCATTTAATAATATGGTGCACGGAATTGTATATCGGAGATACCTACCCTTTGAAATTATCATAAGTTTATATTATATATCTAATGAGTAGATATATWATACATGGCCACAAAAACTGCACAAAGTAGGCGTGGTATATTTGACAGACAAAGGCCACTKCAGTATAGTCTAGCGAGTCACGAAAGTTTGAAACCTACAACTTAAACGTGTTCATGACCAGATACGCGCTAAGTAATTTTCGACGTACCTACCAGAAATTGCATTTGTAAAATAAGTTGAAAGTGATAAAAAATTAAACATATTTTCAGTAGATGTAAAATAATAAAATATTATAGAATATTATTTGTTATATTTTTGAATTGAAAATTAATTGGTTTGTGATCTCTAAATTTAAAAAAGAAATTCAAAGTTCACGAATTTACATTGATACATTGAGAGAGGGCCCACGCTTGAGCACCTGCAGTCGTACCATCTGGCCACTTATACACATTATAAAAACATCCTCTTGTACTTTTAAGCTTTTCAAAAACCATCTCAAATTATTATTTTTTTTAAATATCAGAACAACGATATTCGTCGTGATATAATTATTTAATGTGCGTAAAATAATATATACTCTTGTCGATGTTTTCCCAGTAGATGACYACCGCGTTGTCGCGGTCGGCGCGGGCCTGTTCGTGGAGCAGCCCAACCACGTGAAGGAGCTCGTGCTGTACCGTACCCTGGTGGGAGATGCACGACGGTGACTCTAAGTTCATGCTGTGTGGGTGGCCCATTTCCCGGTGAAAGCCGATCATGGCGTTGCAACCCTTGTTCCGCTCACGGCCGATGTACACGTACTCCGAGTGCCCGACTTCCTTCAGCAGCTGTGTCGCGTTTACGCCGTTCATGTCAACGAATTTCAGGCACGTCTTGGACTCGATTGAGTCCATGGCCATCCGGATCTTTGACCGTTCGTCTTGTGCTGCATCGGCGATGGCACGCGAAAAAAGTGTGAAAAAAACAGTTAAATAAAATACCCGATCACCCGCAATCTTACCGATTGGATAGAATTTAGATTATAAAGTGGGTATGGGGAGATAAAAATTTATATATATATATATCGATATTAATAATAGTTGATTTACAAAAACGCATAAACAGTACCGAAATTTTGCAACCCTTCACGACTTTTTCCCTACATTTTTTCAAGTATCGGACGTTCCAGATAACATATTCCCATTCAACAATTATTAATCACATTAAAATATATAATACGTTTATATAACACTTTGTATAGTACAACTATAATGTAAGGATCAGCGTTAAGTCCTCGAGCACAATCAGCATATAGCTCTGCAGCGTCTCCTTACAAGACATTTTAAACGTACTTCACATATTGTACAAACACTGCATTGAACATTTTAGTAATTACATTTTTCAAATATTTAATTACATCTGATTTTTGATTGAAGTTAGATACCGTTAAAATCGAGAAACTATTAATATTATTATAGAACGACCCATACCAGTACAAAAATAGTTTTTTAATACTAAATTAAATAAGATATTAATTGGCAGAGAGACAAATACGGCGAGATACTATATAGTTTAAATAAATACTATGCAATATACATCTCGTATAATGTATTTATGTATTAAATCTATACCGTATACGTAATCTAATAATAATTCAAGTTCTCTGTAATTCCAATCAAGTAAATAATTACGTTTTAAAAATTAAGCATTAATGCTATAAACGTTAAATACGAAGTAAACGTTAAATGCAAGAGACAGGCGGCATGTTATAAAGGGGTTATTCGAGGCACCGTTTTTACTAAAACCTAAAAGCTTTTAAAGTAATTTATATTAACTTATATAAAACAGAAGAAAAAGTGCTCGCATGGTACGAACATATATAGTAATCGTATTTTTATTATATTGAAATACCGATTTCTGCATTAAGGTGTAAAATACAACCGTAAATTTTTTTTAAATCCATGATTCGTTTTACTCACTAAAATTGTAATGGATTGTATAAGGAATTATTGCCTTGGGCCATTTATAGTAATCTGACATTATGGCATTCCTCGAAACTGGCAGTACTATGTCTCCTTGGTACAATCGCGATCTCAATTCTGGATACATATCTGATCACAAAATAAACGAATGTATGTTATATAATACGTAATCTAAAAAATAATTTCAATCTATTTTAAAATAATATATTCAACACATGATGAGTTAATAACAAATGCTGAGATAACAATTTGATTATGCGTTAAAAATGCACAATTGGCAATTGCTATACAATTTATAAAATATATATAATTAAGTATACTATAATAGCAATCACCTCGCGTTCAATAAACCCTCAAATAAACCACAATATCTACATCTGCAACCTAATGTATTGTTTCATAATCCTAAGACGTCTAGCCTCTGAAAACTGACATTAAAAAAAATTTTTTCAGCTGACCCATGACCCATGACCCATCTGTCACAATTTATGTTGTATAATTAAAGAAGCAAGGAGGGAAACGTTCGAACTTTCTATTATAGTTCCCACACCATTTGGTGAAAAAACTCGATTGCAATATTATTATAATACAATTATTATAAAATTTTATTTTTTAACGTATAGTCAATGCATTGACTGGCATTGAACGATAAACAAACTATGTGGTTTATTGTTTGTTCGATCCGCATATCTGTTATATATTTACCATTTTTTTATGATTCTTTACTCTTTTTGTGTGTTTTAAGCGTTAAGAGAACGGAAGCGCGCGTAACATCTGCAGCGATCTATCATACCTACTCAGAGTACATATATACCTAGCCAAAACGTGTATATTATTTTATTATAGTCAAACTKCGTTCAATTTAAATAAACATGACCTATTATACCAACGATAATATACTAGAAGAAGGTGTTAATCCAATGTCCTACTACGTAGGCTTTTCGTGCACGTCGTAAATAACTAAACATAATGGATGTGTTTCAAAGGTGTAGTGAAGCGTGAAGGGTATAACTATACGTGTATACTCATAAATCGTATCTCATATATTATAATATAACCATATTATGCGTTATTATATAAAACGCACGCGATTGTATATAGAAATGAGAATGAAATTGTTACGTGATGGTGGTGATGAGTATTATATAATTAATAATAATTTATGTTGAATAAAAAAAAATCTAACAGACAACAGATAATATCATCTATTATAATCTACAATATTTTATTTCTGCTGAATATTAATTTTTTTCGTACATCAATATTACATAGGATGAACAAAAAACGATATCCATAATTAGGTAATGCAATAACCATAAAATATTTTGTATTACTCGAGGTACGATTTTAAATATAGTATACAATTTTTGATTTCGAAATGTGGATTTCATCGGTAATATATTGTATATAATATTATCGTGTGTGGATTTCAAAGTATATTGGGTTGCCATGCGATGTGATGTATCGGGATGCGACGTGCAAGCCCATCTACCATTTATATTATAGTGAAAATGTCCGATTTAAGAGTACACTCAATTTCAAACAGCCATTGCTGTTATATGCATACGCACGGGTTCTGTTGAATCTTGATATTTGTGATCGCAGTCGTGTAAAAGTAATGTTCGAACAACAGTTCCGTCTGCCGTTGGCACTTGGTCGGGACTCTTGTACACAATATGTATACATTATTAGATATTATGTAGGTATATAAAGCATGACTTTCCGAGAACAAACGCGACACTGGGGCCTGTTTTTCTGACTCTACGACTGTGCGAACGTTTCTGGGAAATAAGGAATCCATCAGCCCCAACAAGTCCCGTAAAGTACGTATTATGGCTGTTGAACAATTTACACAATACACGATTAATTAATTCGGCGCTATGAGAAAAATGTAAATAACCACCCGTAGTATGTAGATAGTAGATACCCGATATAATAATTATCAATRACAATGAAAACCAATTATCATCAAAACGTGATGATGACTCGAAAGTGGGGTTACACAATTTCATGAATTTCTTTACTTCAAATATTTATTCCAAGGGAAAAATAATGATAAATAAATATTTTTAAATTCTTGTATTCTATTCATTTATAAATCCACTTAAAGCGAGAGAAAATTGTTTGAAGTGTATGATTTTATAGCATAAAAAGATAAATCGTTAACATCCCGTATTGTTTAAGTTGGTTTAACCTAACCTAACCAGCTAATCCCGTGCACTATCCGCTAAAAATGCCTATTCTATATTATATGATTCAAACTTTGTTCAATTATTCGTTGTTTAATATTAACTGCAATGCTGTTTAAAACTAAAACATTTTCATCGACCATTTTAAATCTCAAAACACTTGTGCAATGCATTTATAGTATTACACAAATTATTACAAACTTYAACGATACCACATGATTGACTCAAAAACTATAAATATTAAAGAAAAATAAGAAACCAGCTGATCGACATTCATCTATATCAATATATGTTATACGTATATGTATACGTTTAGCTGTATGAGTATAGCCGTATAGGTACCTATATGGATATAAAAACAAATGTTTTTCATAATTTCATTAAATAATTACAAGAAGAGTGAAATTTAATATTGAAAAACTACTTTTATGTTATTAATTTATTAGTAATATCATTTTCGTGGTAAATTTATTAAAATCAACTACGAGAATATGACAAACAAGTTTTAATGGTATTGATATAATATTAATCATTATAATATTTTAAATATTTATTAGATATTCTTATTAAATTTTTACATGTTCTGCAGGGAAATTAATTTAAAATATTAAACGAATATATCACGAGGTACGRGTTTATTTTTATTCTATTCAATTCCAACAGCGAACGGAAATTGACCACTTTAATCTACAACTCATATTATACTCCTAAAACTATTAAAATGTAATAAATAAATCCTCATTTTCAAATTATTTAATGTATATAATAATATTACTGTAATAAAACTATTAAAAGTTATTAATGAAATGTTTGAAATGTTTACCTCTATGACTCCATCTGTTGATTTTAGTATTAAAAAAAAAACCTTTATTTCATTTTATTTTTCAGATAAGTATAGCAAACTAACGCGTAYCTAAAGCCGTTCAAATATTATTTGATGACTAAAAGCTAACAAACTAAGTAGATTTTAGGTTAGAGTTAATGATACCAAGTTGCACAAACATTTCATAAATTTAACGACTCGTTAAAATTTAATGGACCAATCATGAATTCATGAGTCGCTATTTGATGTGTGAGAGAATCTGTTAAATATTTAAGGAACTGTTAAACTATAATGGAATAATGGATGTTTGTGAACCCAACATAATATGCAATTATAATAT